CTGCCACAAGCCAAGGAAAGCCTGAAGCCACCAGGAACTGGAGTTGGCGGGGATCAGGATCCCTCCATAGACGCTTTGAAAGGAGCACGGCCCCCTGGCACCATGATTTCAGACTCCTGGCTTCTGAAACTGGGAGGGAATCCATTTCTATGTTTTAAGCCACCCAATTTGCAGAACTTTGTTACAGAAGCCCCAGGAGCAAAGCACTCTGCTGAGACTTAATGGAGTTCCTACGAAGATGACTACGCCTGGCTTCTTCCCTGGAAGGAAGGTGTTCTAGCTGCAAAAAGCTTGGAACAAGCCCCTGGGGCAGGAGGGACACAAGGTTCAGTAATCATCACTGCCCATCTGGAAGCTCCAGGGTCATTTCATTTTGGATATTGCTGGTATTCTTGTGTTTAATTTTTGGATAGTTTCATATGGTTCAAAGTTTAAAAGGTACAACAGTGCATTCTTTTTTTTTTTTTTTTTTTTTTGAGTTGGAATCTCACTCTGTTGCCCAGACTGGAGTGCAGTGGCCGCTTCCAGCCACTGCAGCCTCGACCTACTGGGCTCCGGCGATCCTTCCACCTCAGCCTTCCAAGTAGCTGGAACTCCAGGTGCACGCTACCACACCCGGCTAATTTTTATTTATTGTAGAGATGAGGTCTCACCAAGTTGCTCAGGTGGGTCTCGAACCTGTGGGCTCAGGCAATCTACTCACCTCAGCCTCCCAAGGCGCGGGATTACAGGCTGAGCCACCAAGCCCAGCACAACAGTGCATTCTATGAAGACATCTTTCCAGGTTCATCGTACATGCCCATTTCCCTAGAGGCCACCAGAGTATCTGTTTCTGTATCTCCTTCCAGAAATAAACAAGATGCCAAAAAAATGTATGCACATTTTAAGAGATGTTATCTATGTATTACTTTTAATTTGCCCTAGTCAGAAGTGTCTAGACACTGATGGTAATCACTTTGAGCACCTATTGTAATTGCAGAAGTCAAACATAACTTGTATTCATCTTTTATTATCAATATGTATCAAGTATTATAATTTTAATACATATATATGTTTTTTTAGAGGTGAGGTCTAGCTCACTATGCTGCTCAGGCTGGTCTCAAACGCTTAGAGTCAAGCAATTCTCCCACCTCAGCTTCCCAAAGTGCTGGGGTTACAGGTGTGAGCCCCTGTATCTGGCCTCCTTCCAGAAACTTTTTTTTTCTTTTGAGTCCGTGTCTCACTCTGTTGCCCAGGCTGGAGTGCAGTAGCACACTCATGGCCACCGCAGCCTTGACCTGCTGGGCTGTCTCAGTAGCCATCCCCTGGACCTTCTGTCTCAGCCTTCCAAGTAGCTGGAACCACAGGCTCACACCACCACACCCAGCTAATTTTTTTTATTTATTGTAGAGACCAGATCTCACCAAGTTTCCCAGGTTGGTCTTGAACCCCTGGGCTCAGGCAACCCTCTTGCCTCCACCTCCCAAAATGCTGACATTATAGGAGTGAGCCACCATGCCCAGTCCAGAAATATTTTAAACAAAATTTATGTATGTCTATTGTCTTCCCCACGTTTTAACCCCAGAAGGCAGCACATTCTGTTTTTCATCTTCTGCTGCTGCTTGAATTTTCTCACTTGCTGACATCTCTTGGACATCATTTTATCAGTGTAATGTATGCTGAGAAGGAAGAGACGAGCCACTGGTGGTTAAAAAGGTTTATTAAAGAAAAGGAGGTAGCCCGGCGTGGTAGTACGCGCCTGTAGTTGACAGCTACTTGGAAGGCTGAGGCGGAAGGATCGCCAGAGCCCAGCAGGTCAGAGTGAGACTCCAACTCAAAAAAAAAAAAAAAAAAAAGAAAGAAAGAAAAGGAGGGGCCGGGCTCGATGGTTCAGCCTGTAATCCCCGCACTTTGGGAGGCTGAGGTGAGTAGATTGCCTGAGTCCGCGAGTTCGAGACCTGCCTGGGCAACTTGGCGGGATCTCATCTCTTACAATAAATCAAAAAATTAGCCGGGCGTGGTAGCACACGCCTGTAGTTCCAGCTACTGAAAGGCTGAGGTGGAAGGATTGCCGGAGCCCAGCAGGTTGAGGCTGCAGTGACTGTGAGCGGCCACTGCACTCCAGTCAGGGTTCAGAGTGAGACTTCAACTCAAAAAAGAAAGAAAAGAAAAATAGGGGGTTGGCTAGCTGTATAGAGAGAAACCAGCAGCCTTTGTTCTCTTGTAGGCCACTTATATAACCCTAGTCGGGGTTAATTGGGTGCCAAGAAGCAGTTTAGGGAGTTTGAGCAGTCATTTGCCTGGCCTTGAGATGCAGATGTCGGCACTGTTAGGGGCTGCTGGTCCCATGGCCTTGAAGTGCAGATGTCCGCACCAAACCCGTCACTATCAGGGTATGGTTACTCACTTCTCTGAAATGCAGCCTTAGGAAAGCAAATATTGACAGTCAGAACCAGGATGAGTCAGTACCAGGATGTTATCAGTCACACTAGGGAAAGCAGATATTGGCGGGAAAGCAATTAGTAACAGGACACTGTTAGAGCACAGTGTTAGCTTTTGGGCCATTGCAACTCTGTGCTCTGTTTGCAAGGTTTATATGATGAGTTGTTTTAACTACAACCTCTCCCAACCGCCTATAAACCAGATCAATCAGTATGCTGTTCTTTTCCATGACTGCACAGCATTTTATTCCATATAGACACATCATAAGTTGTATAACTATTCCCTTATGGATGGACTTTCAGACAAGGCCATCTAGTCCATGAGGATAAATAAGGTAACGTATGCTAGAAATTGCCATACCTTCCAAAAAGATTGTTGCTAGATATAAATTTTTTTTTTTTTAAGCTTGCCCTCTGGAGATGGGCTACATGGCCCTTGCCAAAGGTCAGGGGATAGTTACTGGACAGTAGCAGGGTGGCAGACTCCTGAAAGGGTGTGAGGTCTAAGACCAGGATCTGGCTCAGGTTCCTCGAGTCTTGACTACTTTCCTCCCTCTGACGGAGTGTGTCTCAAGAATCAGGGAGTCCTGTGTCTACAGACATCCCCTGAAGTACACAATCTTCCAAAACGATGTAAACTCTGAGAAGGCAGGTGGTTTATCAGTTTGTTAGGGCTGGCTTAACAAAGTAGCACAGACTGGGTGACTTCAACAACAGAAGCTGATTTTTTCACAACTCTGGATACCAGAGGTCTGGAGTCAAGGTATGGGCGGGATTGTGCTCCCTCTGAGGGCGTGAGGGATGGATCTGTTCCAGGATTCCTCTTCCTCCTAGTTTCTGGTAGTTCCTTGGCTTGTGATAACTCTAGTCCTTACGCAGTGTTCTGCGTGTGTGTGTGTGTGTGTGTGTGTGTGTGTACACATTTCATATTTGTGTAAGGACACCAGTCATATTGGATTAAGGGTCCATTCTGATGACCGTCTTAACTAATTACATCTTCAATGACATTGTTTCTTTTTTTCTTTTTTTTGAGTTGGAGTCTCACTCTATCCCCCAGGCTGGAGTGCAGTGGCATGCTCACGGCCACCGCAGCCTTGACCTGCTGGGCTTAGGCGATCCTTCCACCTCAGCCTTCCCAGGAGCTGGAACTACAGATGCATGTCACCACACACTAATTTTTTTGTGATTTATTGTAGAGATGCCATAAATACAAGTTGCCTAAACCGGTCTCGCACCCCCGGGCGCAGGCAGTCCTCTCACCTCGGCCTCCCAAAGTGCTGGGATTACAGGCTGAGCCACCGTGCCAGCCCAATGACACTATTTCTAAATAGGCATATTCTGAGGTACTAGGAGTTAGGACATCAACATGTCAACATTTCAACATGTGAATTGAGGTGGGGGAGCCCATAACTGGTGATGTTGCAGAGCTTTCTAGATTCTGCCAGACCCTACCTTGTGATGATTGTAGCTCTGGGCCCCAAGTAGGGTCTGAGAGGAGCCAAGAGAAGTTGAAAGATGCTACATCTGTCCCTGACCTCCTGACTGGCCACTTCAAATCCAATCAAATTTGATTGATTCATTAGGCTGAGATGGAAGGATTACTTAAGCCTAGAAGTTCAAAGCCGCAATAAGCTGTGATTGCACCTGTGAATAGCCGCCGCACTCCAACCTGGGCAATGTAGTGAGACCCCATTTCTTTTTCTTTTCTTTCTTTCTTTTTTTTTTTGTTTTTTTTTTGAGTTAGAATCTCACTCTGTCACCCAGGCTGCAGTGCAGTGGCACAGTCATGGCCACCGCAGCCTCTATCTGCTGGGCTCAGGTGATCCTTCCACCTCAGTCTTCCAAGTAGCTGGAACTATAGGCATGCACTACCATACCCAGCTAATTTTTAAATTTTATTGTAGAGATGAGATCTGACTAAGTTGCTCAGGCTGGTCTCAACCCCTGGGCTCAGGCAATCCTCTCGCCTCCACCTCCTAAAAGTGCTGGGATTACAGGTGTAAGCCACTGCACCCAGTCTCCCATCTCCTTTTTTTTTGAATGGGAGTCTCACTCTGTCACCCAGGCTAGAGTGCAGTGGCATGCTCATTGCCACCGCAGCCTTGACCTGCTGTGCTCAGGTAATCTTTCCACTTCAGCCTTCCAAGTAGCTGGAACTACTACAGGCGTGCACCACCCTGCCTGGCTAATTTTTTGATTTATTGTAGAGATGAGGTCTTACCATGTTGCTCAGGCTGGTCTCAAACTTCTGAGCTCAGGCAATCCTCTCACCTCCACCTCCCAAAGTGCTGGGATTACAGGTGTGAGTCACCACACCTGGCTCCCCATCTCTTAAAAAAAGAGTGCAATGCATATAATAAGCAGATAATAGAGTTGTGCTGAAAAGAATGTCTTTCAGTACGACAATTCACTTATAGACAGATGTCAGGACTGGGGAGGCCTCTTTCTGGGAGGTGCTCATAGCTGGAGCTGACTTGTCAACCCAAGGGAGCATTCAGCAAAAGGGTTCTACCTGAGGTGAACTAGAAATCGCTGCCACCCAAGCTTGTACTGACAGTGATTTATCTATCTCTGAGACAGCTACCAGGAGGGCCCGAGCTACCCGGAGGAGCCTGCTACATGTCCCTTACGGCGATGGCGAAGGGGAGAAACTGGACATCTACTTTCCTGATGAAATGTCTGAAGGTCGGTGATGGGCCTGGGGCTGGGGGGGGCATCCCACTGCAGAGCTCAGTGGGGCCGCCTGTTCATGCACCCTCCGTTGGTTTTCCAGGCTTGCCTTTCCTTGTGTTCTTTCATGGAGGATACTGGCAGAGCGGAAGGTGAGTGGGGACTTTGGATGATGGAGCAAAAGGGAAATTCATCATTCCCTGGTGGACTAGTCTCCTGCGGCCACAGTCACAGAGTACCACAGACCGATGGCTTACAACAACAAGGTGTTCTCTGGAGGCTGGATATCTGAATCAAGCCATTGCTGGGGCTGCCCTCCCTCTGAAGGCTCTAAGGGAGGATTCTGTCGTGTATACGATTAGAGGAAGCCAGTGGTGCAGGTGGTGAATGTGTTCTCCAAAACAGCTATGAATTTAGAAAGGCAGATGGATTAAAGGGAAGGCATGCTGCAGGGGAGCAGCGGGCAGCAGCAAAGGGAGACTGTCTGCTGTCTGCCAAGAGACAGAGGCCAAAGGGGAACTTTTATGAGGCTGTCTTAGGGAGTTAAATGCTGTGCTGCCCCAGGGAAGTTTCCCACATGACATGGAGAAGTTTGCAAGAGGGAAGTTATTGGTATGATGGTTTCTGCAGAACAGCCTGTTGATTTGGTGTTCTGTTTGTTCGTTCATTTTTAAGATAGAGTTAGCAGGGCGCAGTGGCTCACGCCTGTAATGCCAGCACTTTGGAAGGCTGAGGTGAGAGGATTTCCTGAGCTCATGGGATTGAGACCAGCCCAGGCAATTTGGCGAGACCTCATCTCTACAATAAATCAAAAAATTAGCTGGGCATGGTGGTGCACATCTGTAGTTCCAGCTACTTGGAAGGCTGAGGCGGAAGAATCACCTGAACCCAGCAGGTCGAGACTGCGGTGGCCATGAGAGTGTCACTGCACTCCAGCCTGGGCAACAGAGTGAGACGCCAACTCAAAAAAAAAAAAAAAAAAAAAAAAAGGATAGGGTTAATTAGCAGCAATGGTTAACTGCTTTTCCATTTACTGTGGGCTGAGCCCGCGGGTTCGAGACCAACCCGGGAAACTTAGCAAGACCTCGTCTCTACAATAAATCAAAATTAGCCGGGCGTGGTAGTGCGCGCCTGTAGTTCCAGCTACTCGGAAGGCTGAGGCGGAAGGCTCGCCGGAGCCCAGCAGGTCGAGGCTGCGGTGGCCAAGAGCGGCCACTGCACTCCAGTCTGGGCGACAGAGAGACTCCAACTCAAAAAAATAAATAAATAAGTAAAATAAAAAATAAAAGGAAAGTCCTAGCAAAATGGGACAGTTGGTCCCTCTAAGCTAAGAAGAGGGGTATTTGGGATCGTGGAGGACATTTATTCCTTAGACCTTACGACAGAGTTGTCTCTTACATATCTACCATCCCTTCAGCATATTTATCTATTTTTTTTTTTTTTTTGAGTCAGAATCTCACTCTGTTGCCCAGGCTTGAGTGCAGTGCATGCTCACGGCTACCACAGCCTTGACCTTCTGGGCTCAGGTGATCCTTCCGCCTCAGCCTTCCAAGTAGCCGAGATTACAGGTGTGCATCACCACGCCCAGCTAATTTTTAAATTGTGTATAGAGATAAGATCTTGCTATGTTGCTCAGGCTGGTCTCAAACTCTTGGGCTCAAGCAATCCTCCCACTTTGGCCTCCCAAAGTGGTGGAATTACAGGCATGAGCCGCTGTGCCTAGCTGCATATTCATCTTAATAACTACACTTATTGCACACAAAGCTCTCTACACTTCTGATCTTCAGTTCTCAAAAACAGCTCCCCAAGAGCAGGAACATAATTGTCCCTATTTTGCAGATGAGGAAACCAGGCTCAGAAATTACATAAAGTTCCCAAGGTCCTGTAGCAGGCATGTGACGTGGCAAGAACAGAGTCTATCCTTTTCCCTCTATCACACGGCGACAGAGAGGGGCAATGCTCTGTGTGGACAGGACACAGGGGGAAGCAGCATAGTGGCCAAGTTGCCTCCACATTTTTTGGGGGGTGGGTGGGAGTCTCACTCCATTGCCCAGGCTAGAGTGGCACACTCACGGCCACCCCAGCATCAACCTGCTGGGCTCTGGCGATCCTTCTGCCTCAGCCTTCCAAGTAGCCAGAACTACAGGCGCACACTACCACACTTGGCTAATTTTTTTTAAAATTTATTGTAGAGACGAGGTCTCGCCAAGTTGCTCAGGCTAATCTCGAACCCGTGGGCTCAGGCCATCCACTCGCCTTGGCCTCCCAAAGTGCTGGGATTACAGGCTGAGCCACCATGCCTGGCCTCAGTTGTGACATTTTTGTGTCTCTCCGCAGTAAAGATGAATCTGCCTTCATGGTCGACCCGCTGACAGCACGAGGAGTGACTGTGGTGATCGTGGCTTACGACATTGCCCCCAAAGGTAGCAAGGGTGGTGACTGCAGGTTTGAGGGCTGGTGGACTTTGGGGGAGAGAGAGAGCCTCCAACCCAGCTCATGTTCTCTATGCAGGCACACTGGATCAGATGGTAGACCAGGCAGCCCGGAGCATCGCATTTCTCCAGAGGCGGTATCCGAGCAACAAGTGGGTGTTGCTGCAGATTTTCTTCTTGTTGGGTCATGCTGAGAGGGAGGATCATGCCCCCTGGATGTAGCCATGTTTGCCTCTATGGCTTGTGGAGCAGAAGGCAAATGGGGACTCCTTGATGCTATCTTGATGTTCTGGGGAAGCTGAAAGTTGAAGCAGTTTTCTGCTCTGACTCATCCAGGGGAATTTTCCTGTGTGGTCACTCAGCTGGGGCCCACCTGGTCGCCATGATGCTCCTGGCCAACTGGACCAAGCACGGAGTCACACCCCATCTCAAAGGTTTCCATGGAGACTGCAGCTTACCTGGGCAGCCTTCATCTCCCTATGGGCCTGAGGGTCGGACCAGCTGGCTGGGAGCTTGACCTGGAGGGCTCTGAGCCCCCATCGGCAGGGTCTTCTCTGTCCCCTCTCCTGGCCCTGCCTCTGTGGCCTAGGGAGTGGACTCGCCCTATCTTGCCTGGCCCTGTGGCAATTCTTCCCCTTCATAGGCTTTTTCCTGTTGAGTGGGGTCTATGACCTGGAGCCGCTCGTGTACACCTCCACGAACGCCCCTCTCCACATGACCCTGTGAGTCCTTGCCCCCTCATCCCCCAGCTCGCCCAGAGCCTGGCTTCACTGTATCCTGAGCACGTCTGCCTCCTGCCCCAGGGAGGATGCTCGGAGAAACAGCCCCCAACTGCTGCTGGAGGTGGCCCTGCCGCAGCCTGTGGATCCCACCTGCCCCATGCTGGTGGTGGTGGGCCAGCACGACTCCCCTGAATTCCACCGACAGTCCAGGGAGTTTTATCAGGTATCCCCACTGCCCAGGGTGTGACTGGAGGTTGAGGGTCATGTGACCATCTCATCATCTTTCTCTTTGTTTCACCCAAACAGACCCCAAGACCATCACTCATTTATTCATCTCATCTGTGTGAGCTCCCTGGAGAGAGTCCCACTCCCTCTTTCCATCGCCTCATGCTTCCTCTTCCTGCATTTCTCCTTCCCAGACGCTGTGCCAACGAGGATGGAAAGCCACCTTTGAAGAACTCCATGATGTGGACCACTTTGAAATCATTGAGAATCTGACCCAGAAGGATCACGCACTCACTCAGGTGGGGCCTCGTCCCTTCCCAGCCACCCAGCAGCCCCCTTCACAGTGGACAGCATGGGTTCTGTTGTAGCCCCTTACACATTAGGAGAGGGGGATAGCCTGGCTTGCATAGAGGAGTCACCCTCGCCAGGCTCTTTGGCATCCAGAAGGTTGGGGGACCCCATGCCCCGATGGTAGGAATCAAAAGCCATACTTGCTTCTATACCTCACCTCCCTCTGCAACACACGGCCTCAGGTGGTCTTCAGACAGTCTGGTCCTGGGCACACAGGTAGGATCTGCACATGACTATGGGTGAGGACAGACAGGTGGGAGAAAGTACTGGCCTGTCTGTGTATATCCATGAAAGCAAAAGCCAACTCCATAAAGGACAAGATGAATGGATTTGGCTACATAAATGTTTATTGCAACTTATGCATAGAATACCCTAAACAATTAAAATTCAAAGGAGGCTGGGCACAGTGGCTCACAGTGGTAATCCCAGCACTTTGGGAGCCTGAGGTGGGAGGATTGCTTGAGGCCAGGAGTTCAAGACCAGCCTGGGCAACATAGTGAGACCCTGTTTCTAAAAAATAATAATAATAATTAGCAAGGCATGGTGGTGGCTCCTGTAGTCCCAGATGCTTGGGAAGCTTAGGTGGGAGGATTGTTTGAGCCCAGGAGTTTGAGTCTACAGTGAGCTATGACAATGTCACTGCGCTCCAGCCTGGGTGACAGAGTGAGACCTTGTCTCTCATAAAAAAAAAAAAAAAAGCCAGGCTCGGTGGCTCAACCTGTAATCCCACGCCTTTGGGTGGCTGAGGTGAGTGAATTGCCTGAGCCTGCGGGATCGAGACCAGCCTGGGCAACTTGGCGAGACCTCATCTCTACAATAAATCAAAAAATCAGCCGGGCGTGGTGGCGCATGCCTGTAATTCCGGCTACTTGGAAGGCTGAGGTGGAAGGATTGCCAGAGCCCAGCAGGTCGAGGCTGCGGTGGCCGGGAGCGGCCACTGCACTCCAGTCTGGGCGACAGGTGAGACTCCAGCTCAGAAAAAAAAAGGACAACCCTCTAACCCTCTTTCAGGTTCCTTCCCACTTGGGAACTTTTTTGTCTTCTTAATAAACTCCTGCTTTCTCACCTCTGGGGAGAAAAAAAAAGTCAAAGGCTAAATTAAGAAATATATTTGCCACAGACCTGGTTGATATATAGTTAATATTTTTCTTTATCCTGAGAAAGTGGGCACTTGATTAATTTGGCTTTTTAATCAGCTGCTACCTCTGTAGAGTTTTTATAGCATTCAGTTTTAACTTGCATAGTTAATATCCTTACTACATAAAGAGTCCTTTCAAATCAATAAGAATAGCTCACATTTCTCTCTCTTTTTTTTTTTTTTTTGACTTAGAGTCTTACTCTGTTGCCTAGTCTGGAGTGTAGTGGCATGCTCACAGCCACTGCAGCCTCGACTTGCTGGGCTCAAGCAATCCTTCTACCTCAGCCTTACAAGTAGCTGGAACCTCAGGTCCACACCACCACGCTTGGCTAATTTTTTGACTTTTTGTAGTGACAGAGTCTCGCCAAGTTGTCCAGGCTAGTTTTGACCCCCTGGGCTCAAGCACTTCTCTTGCCTCTCCCTCCAAAGTACTAGGATTACAGGCGTGACCCCAGCTGGAAGTAGATTTTTAAATACACTTTTAATACCACTGTTAAATGTTTTTTTTCCCTGAGCATATATACAGCTCTAGAGATCTATCTATGTATTATGAAACTGGAACTATACTAGATCAGTTATTTCCTGTGTTTTTGCTCTCACAAAATCTATTCTGAATCAGTTTCAAATAACCTAAGTAGTTTTTACAAACTTGATTTTGTTGCCTGATTATATCATAATTTAACTTCCTTGGACATATGGGTTGTTTCTCAGTCTTGAGGATTGATAAAGCTGCTTCATGTGTTTCACTGATAATACCAAGCAGGTAGCCGGGCTCGGTGGCTCAGCCTGTAATCCCACGCCTTTGGGAGGCTGAGGTGAGTGGATTGCCTGAGCCTGCAGGTTCGAGACCCACCTGGGCAACTTGGCAGGCCCTCATCTCTACAATAAATAAAAAATTAGCCAGGTGTGGTAGTACGTGCCTGTAGTTCCAGCTACTTGGAAGGCTGAGGCGGAAGGATCACTGGAGCCCAACAGGTCAAGGCTACGGTGGCCGGGAGCGGCCACTGCACTCCAGTCTGGGTGACAGAGTTAGATTCCAACTCAAAAAAAAAAAAAATACCAAGCAGCAGAATTACTGGGTCAACAAGTTGGGGTCCATGTTGCCAGACTGGGCTCCAGAGATAATGGACCAACATGCACTCCCCTAGTCGAGCCCAAGTGTGCTCCCTTCAGGATATCCTCCTACCAACGGGCATTGCTATAATTAGATCAAATTTAATCTCTTCCTATGTTTATTGGCTGCTTGTATATATTTTTTAATTGTCTCTCATTCTTCATGTACTTTTCCCTATTTATTTCTGTTCTTAAAGAGAAATATGAGCCAGGCATGGTGTCTCATGCCTATAATCCTAGCACTTTGGGAAGCAGAGGCAAGAGGATTGCCTGAACCCAGGCGTTCAAGACCAGCCTGGACAACTTGGCAAGACCTTGTCACTACAATAACTCAAAAAATTAGCCAAGCTTGGTGGTGTGCACCTGAGGCTCCAGTTACTTGGAAGGCTGAGATAGAAAGGATTGCTTGAGCCGGGCTCGGTGGCTTAGCCTGTAATCCCGCGCCTTTGGGAGGCTGAGGTGAGTGGATTGCCTGAGCCCACGGGTTCGAGACCCACCTGGGCAACTTGGCGAGACCTCATCTCTACAATAAATCAAAAATTAGCCGGGCGTGGTAGCATGCGCCTGTAGTTCCAGCTACTTGGAGGCTGAGGCGGAAAGATTGCCGGAGCCCAGCAGGTCAAGGCTGCAGTGGCCAGAAGCATACTACTGCACTCCAGTCTGGGCGACGGAGTGAGACTCCAATTCAAAAAAAAAAAAAAAAGAAAGGATTGCTTGAGCTCAAGCTTCAGGGGCCATGAGCATGCCACTACACTCCAGCCTGGGCCACAGAATGGAATTCCAACCCCCACCCCCCAAAAAAATTCACTTTACATTTTCTACCATGAACATGTACATATTACTTTTCTTTTTAACTGAGGAAAGAACAAATACCCACAAAACCTAAGAACCTAGGAAATGAAAGAACCTAAGAAAGACTGTCCCATTTTTAAATTTTTTTTTTTTTGAGTTGGAGTCTTACTCTGTCACCCAGGCTGGAGGGCAGTGGCTGCTCCCGGCCACCGCAGCCTCGACTTGCTGGGCTCCAGCAATCCTTCCGCCTCAGCCTTCCAAGTAGCCGGAATTATAGGCATGCGCTACCACGCCCGGCTGATTTTTTTATTTATTGTAGAGATGAGGTCTCACTGCCCAGGCGGGTCTCAAACCCACGGGCTCAGGCAATCCACCTCAGCCTCCCAAATGTGCAGGATTACAGGCTGAGCCAACGAGCCCGGTTTATTTTATTTTTTAATATATATTTTTAATAGAGACGGGGTCTCCCATTGCCTAGGCTGGTCTTGAACTTCTGACCTTAAGCAATCCTCCTGCCTCGGCCCCCCAAAGTGCTTGAATTACAGGGGTGAGCCACCACACTTGGCCTATCCTGTTGCTTTCATCGAATTTCTGCCAAGAGCTGTTGCCATTCTAGGGCTTTTGTATCTTCTCTTCCTGCTGCAGACTATCTTGGAAACAATCTTCCAGTAGTTTTGATGATAGCTGGACACCAGCCCTCATACACCCTAACACGTGAGTCCTCCTCAAAGGGCCTTCAGAGCCGAACCTGCCGGCTTCCACCTCCTCCAGCGCCCAAGAGAGCCTTAGTGTGTCCACCTGCCCCAGCAAGAGTCCTTCCTTCCCTGTTGGGAGCAGGAGACACTCCCCCAGACCAGTCTTCATGAAAAACTCCATCTTCCCTCTTTCTCCAGCCTGGATCGAGCTCTTGGGAAGACTCCGGGGAAGGTTCACAGGTCAATGCTGTTGGATGGCCAGTGCTACCTCCTGGCCACATCCGGCCCCTCTCTCTGCTGACAGGGCATGACAGGAGTCACAGACCTTCAGCTCACTGCCTGTTTTTGTATGACCCACAAGCTAAGCATGGTCTTACATTTGCATATGTGGTTCAAAAAGAATTTTAAGAGAATATTATTTCTTTCATAACATGTGAAAATTATATGAAACTAAAATCTCCACGCCTATAAATAAAGTTTTATTGGAACACAGCCCAGCATGTTCACTTACATACTGTCAGTGACAGATGTTGCACACCGAGTTGGGTCGTTGTGAGGGTGACCGCCTGACCCATAGTGTGTGAAGTATTTCCTCTCCAGAAAAGTTTGCAGACCCCTGTTAAGGACTCCCCCAAACCAGTCTCCATCCTGCCTGTTTCTTCACTCTTCTGTCCTCAATCCCACTTAACATTTAGATCTATCCCTGAATGCCCTGGGGTCTTAGCATTGGGGCAAACACCTTGACCTTGATAGGACAATGCCATTCTGTCATCCAGGTAAGACATGCTTCATCTATCTCCCCGGGGGTATGTGCAATTTCCAAGGAACCAGCTACTTCCATACACCACCACCCCACTGCCTCTTTCTTCCAGGCTGACTATCTAATAATTCAAGAATTTCCACTGTGGGTGGGCACGGTGGCTCACGCCTGTAATCCTAGCATTTTGGGGCCAAGGCAAGAAAATTGCTTGAGCCCAGGAGATCAAGACCAGCCTGGGCAACATAGTGAGACCTCATCTCTACAAAAAATAAATAAGCCAGGCGTGATAATGTGCGCCTATAGCTTCAGCTACTTGGGAGGCTGAGGAGGAAGGATCACCTGAGTCCTGAGTGCATTTATATGTACTGTGTAATTTGAAACATTAAAATATTCAGGCTGGGTGCAGTGGCTCACATCTGTAATCCCAGCACTTTGGGAGGCCAAGGCAGGAGAATTGCTTAAGGCCAAGAGTTCAAGATCAGTCTGGCAACATAGCAAGAGTCTGTCTCTACCAAAAAAAAATGTAAAATATTAAAAAAGCTTTCAGGATGTAGGATGAGAGTGATGTTATAGATTTAACTTGAATCTGTTCGATTTAAAGGAAATGACTCTCAGGTGACAGGACTTCATTTAGTATTTGTAACAGTTTCCTTGTGAGACGCCTTACAGCCCCTGGCAGGAAACCTACTGGTCACCTCACCTGGGTTGAGACTTGCTCCCTTAACCTATGCCATAAGGTTAAGTGCCTTAAGGTAAGCAAAAGACAGTATAATCGGATACACTGACACATATCTTGGCATGTGGCATCCTATTCACAGATATCTGTAGGTACAGAAAGAAAGACCAGAAGCCTACACAAGTCAGCAGCAGGTAACCTCCAGGGTGAAATGGTGGACAATTTAAATTTTCTTTTTATTTAATGTATATTTTTACATTAATAGGAACTGTTTAATTTAATTTGGGTTTTATTTAAAATAAAAGTTAAATAGATTGCATTTTTTTTCCAGAATGTAAATTGTTTTAATTATACATTTGAAAAATGTCACAAGTCAAAACACCGGAATGCAGGGGAGGTTCAACCTCCCTCAACCCTATGAGGCGCCCTTCTCCATTTCAGCCTTGCGTTGCAGAAAGACCAGATAGTCTTGTATTTTTACGTGTTTCGTGTTTCACAGGATTTGGTCAGAGCCTTAAAACTGTTCCACCCACAACTCTGAAATTTTCTTTCTTTCTTTCTTTTTTTTTAGAACAAAACAAGTCTATTTCTATCCGACTACCTAATACAGAAGATAGTGTGGTATGGATGTTTGGTATGAATGACAAGTAACACAAATATGTTTTATTTGAAATAAGCAGCCGGGCTCGGTGGCTCAGCCTGTAATCCCGCGCCTTTGGGAGGCTGAGGTGAGTGGATTGCCTGAGCCCACGTGTTCAAGACCTGCCTGGGCAACTTGGTGAGACCTCATCTCTACAATAAATAAAAAAATCAGCCGGGCGTGGTAGCGTGTGCCTGTAATTCTGGCTACTCGGAAGGCTGAGGCGGAAGGCTGAGGCGGAAGGATTGCTGGAGCCCAGCAGGTCGAGGCTGCGGTGGCTAGGAGCAGACACTATACTCTAGTCTGGGTGAATGAGTGAGACTCCAACTCACAAAAAAAAAAAAGAAAGAAAGAAACAAAAATGTTTACACAGCTCAATGGGTCACTTGGAAAGAAACTCGCTTGACTGTATTACTGAGCAAAAACAGAGTTGAACCACAAATATCCTTTTTTGACATGTATTTGGGGATAGGTAGGAAGATAACTACTTGTCGGTTTTTTTTTTTTAAACTGACCTTCCCTTAAGGCTTGGTCATAGAAGTGTAAACAATGTAAATGAATCCACCATTACCAGTTGCCATGTCATATCTATGTCACCTGTGTGTTCTGAGATCACACACATACCTGCCAATATACCTGGGAAGGAGTTGCTATATCACAGCTATGTTTGAGTTCTTGGCAGGCAGGTCTGAGAAAGAGTAATTTGGAACAAGTTATACATCCTATGTTGAAGAAATCACTAGTATACTTTTAAATAACAGGTTACAATAAAAAGATACTACCTGGAAGTTATCCTCCTCGCTTTGGTTCATTTTAGTTTTTGTGATTTACATAGTTTGTTTGATTCACTTGCTTATAGTACAATCCTGCCACAAAGTATTAAAGCACAAGATACCTATGATTCCTTCAGCATCCGCATTTTTCAAGTTTTATACTGTATGTCCACAGTATGTCAGCAGTTCTTGAATGTTTAAAAAAATAAATGGGAAAAGCTCTTCCAAAAATGCAGATGTCTATAACTACGATGGTACTAGGTGGGAAGGAGACAGTGAGGGAAGGGAAAAAGCAGACATGTTCACGTGCAGGGAATGTGGTTCAAGTCTTCGGATTTAAATACAAGTTCCCAGGCCAGGCCTGGTGGCTCAAGCCTATAATCCCGGCACTTTGAGAGACTGAGGTGAGAGAATTGCCTGATCCCAAAGGTTCGAGACCAGCCTGGACAACTTGGCGAGACCTCATCTCTACAATAAATCAAGACATTAGCCAGGCATGGTGATAAGTGCCTGGTTCCAGCTACTTGGAAGGGTGAGGTGAAAGGATCACCTGAGCCCAACAGGTCAAGGCAGTGGTGGCCATGAGCATGCCACTGTGCTCCAGGCTGGGTGACAGAGTGAGACTCTGACTCAAAAAAAAGAAAACAAGTTCCCCAGAGAAGCTGGCCATAATAGAATTTCCAGAAACTTCCTTTGCTCCCCAGAAAGGACCTGAAAAGCCCAAATACAAGGAAAACTATAGTTAAGAGATGCTACAAATGATTAAGCAGTCAGAGGGAGAAGGATGAATGTGTCTTCCGTTCAGCTATGGTTGTAGCATAGCCTCTTGAGCTGTTGGTGATCAGTTAAAAACCACTGAAGTACCAGAAGAGCATTGAAAGGACAGGGGTAAGAAAATCAGGAAGATATTACCTTGTCTAAATCGGTAACAGGGCTTCACGGCTAGGAAATTTTTCTAAACAGTAAAATAACTCCAGGATAGATTTCTCTCTCCAATGTTAAATGTAGCCAAATTAACAACAACAACAACAAAAGATTTACAAGTAGGTATAGTGATAACAGAAAATTACAAGGTAGAGAACACAGAAGAATCAAGACAATGCTATAGGTTCAACAGTATTCCATGAGGCTAGAAAACCTGTTAACTTTGAAAGCTCCAGCAAAATATTGCTCTCATTTATAAATAATGTATTTATCATATGACCACACGTTGAATTCTTTTCTTTCACATACTGATCCATGTTAAACTGGGCAAATGCATGTGCTGTCTTTTCCCTAAGAAGATTGTCATTATTAAGTAGTAGCTGAACATCATTGAATACTTCATTAAATCCCCCTGGAGGTGCATGAGTGATGAATTTGGCAGCTATGCGTAAATTCTCCTCTTCTGACACCTAATCCTTGAAGTCAGCCATCTTGGGTATTCTCTCTCTCTTTTTTTTGAGATAGGTTCTTGCTCTGTCACAGTTCAGCACAGCCTCAAACTCCTGGGCTCAATTGATCCCCCCACTTCAGTCTCTCAAGTAGCTGGGACTACAAGTGTGTCACCACACCCAGCTAATTCCTTTTTTTTTTTAATATATATTTTAGAGATGAGGTCTTGCTAGGTTGCCCAGGCTGGTCTCAAACTCCTAGCTTCAAGTGATTCTTCCACCTCAGCCTCCCAAAGCCCTGGGATTACAGGCATGAGTCACAGTGCCAGGTCTGATATTTCAAGAAAATAACTAATTCAGTTAAATAACAGTCTCAAGGTAGAACTGGTCTACTAGGTGATCACCCACTTAAATTCAGAGCCTGCTTTTCTGTCCAAAACCACTAAACCTCCTCCTTCACACATCCCCAGGCCCCCAATATGCCAGCCACCTTCTGACAGGTGACATTCCTGGAACCCCTGCTAAAAACATCTCAACACAAAACTCTCTGCCCACAAGGCCAGTGGAGGGCATCTGCTAAGCCCCTGGACTGGTCAACACAGGTTATGTGCTCATTTCTACATTCAAACACTATTCAGTTACTTCTCTCCTCACCCCTGGTAGGCAAGGGACAGAACCACTCTCACCTCAATCTGATGGTCAAGGGGAGAGCACACAGATTTAGAAGCCAGTGGAGCTGAGGGGAAGAAGGAGGG